ATCTGGATGCACCTCTCAACTAAATCTGTTGTTGTTCTCACTCTCATCAAGAGAAATGTGTTAAAACGACAATGAAAAGCAATATGCATAGTCCATTTGCAAAAACATAGAGATCCAGTCAATCCTTCAATGACCGTATACCGGAGACTTTCATCATCTGCAAATAATAGAAAACAGGAAGAGTAATGGGACATTTTATTTTCTGCATTATAATGTCATATTTGGGTTCTTGTAAGTTGACTCAGTAGTACTGCTCTTATTGGGTGTCCAACTGTGTTTCCTGGCACAAACATCAGGTGTCTCAGAATGACCTGTAATTCCAGGTACAAAAGTTATGATGCACTCTTCTGGCTTCCCTGGATACCAGGTATGCAATTGTTAACACAAACACACACATCTCCATCTTGTAAACATGCTTTCTTCATGCATATATTATTTTTTTAAAAAAATAGAAATAATTTATGTTTCTTGTCAGAACGCAATCCTGGAATGGAGTCATGTGAGCATTCTGAGTGCTTATGAGAACACTGCAAGAAAACAAGGGAAGAGTCTTGTGATCTCTGCTTCTTCAAATCACAAAATTGTTCTTGGAATGTGTTTTTGTGGTCCTCTCAAGTGTAGCAGATAAGAAGGGGTAATATATTCTTCATTATTGATTGCCTTTGTTGTCTAATTAAAAGTTTAATCTATGCTTTATGTGCATCTATGGGAAACAGTGCTTTTTGCCACAAATGTGCTTATTCTTGTTATTGTACAAAGCTTGAATTCATGAGAATGTTTCTCAGGTAACATTTCTTAAATATCAGAGTACACATTGACTCAGGCTCTGTATCAGTCCAGCTCTTCTACTGGTGGCCTTCTACCAGGTACCTCCTCTGCCTAGAGCAGTAACAAGAGCTGAAGAGGTACTGAAAGTCAGCAACGACATAAAAGAGTGAGGACCCTCTTGGTAGGTGAGTGAGAATGGTAGGGAAAGAACAGGGAAAGGCTTTGCCTTATGCTGAACTTGTGCATCATTTTTGAAAGAAAGAAGGAGTAAGAGTTAAGATGATATCTAGTAGAGTTTTTGCAAGTTACTTATGATTATAATCTCTTTTTTCCAGAAGAAGGACTTTAGATGAAGAAGTATGGGATAGAGTTCAAAAGAATATTTAAAAGGAAGGTGAACTAGGGTGAAATATCCCTGTTCAATTTTGGGACACTTGACCATTAATTTGGACTGCTTTCAAAATACTTTAAAAAGATGGTGAGGATGTTAAGTATAAGGAAGCGGTAACTAATTCTTGAATGAATCAAAACTGGACAATCAAACTTTAAAATCGGTAAAAGAGGCCAATAAAAATTTTTTTCCTGTTCAAGCAAAATCAAATGTGGGTCTAAATGTCCCAAGACATTTAGAGTCACTCATGGGCTTGGGCCACAGGTACAGCATGAGACATTATTTATGAAGAGAACGCATTGTTTAAAGAGGCATGAAGCCAGAGGCTCAGCTGGCAATGGCCCAGCAGCAGCTTCTCTGGCTTTGTTCATCAGCCCAGAGTGGTACCCAGGAGGAAGGCCATCCTTAGGAAAATGATAAGAAGGTGGGTTCCCTCCTTGCTCACTGTCAGGGTCCACTAAGCAGAGATTACACAAAACTGAAGAACCTCCTAGTCGGCAAGGTCTTGTGAAATCAGCCTATTTATCACATGGGAAACTGAGTCACAAGAAGAAAGAGAGTCTCAGCTAGAGGCACTCTGGGTGTGAATGTTCCAAGTAGTTATTGTAACCATGGAAACAGGTATCCATCCCTTACTGCTCTTTCTATCTCCATTTGAAATAATTCACACAAGGTCACACAGCCACAAAATGGACAATAGGCTGGGATTTGAACCCAAGTTTCACATCTATGCCTCTCTCCCTCATTCCTGGGGTCATTAGTCAACAGTCCTAACGAACAAGAGAACAGAGGCAATGAACTGGAGGTTCAGTGACCCATGAGCACAAACAAAAATAACCTTTTGGGACTTACTGTGGGGAGGTGGATCAATTTTATTTAGGGTGAACAAGGCTTATATAGAATTTTGGGGAGGGAGTAGGAATATCCAGGGTGGGTGAACCTCATCAGATGAAGGGCTAAGGTACTAAGATGACTCAGCATGGGGGAGGAATTCCAGAAATTCCAGGTGCTTGCTGGGCAGGTTCAATCAGGAGAAAAAAATTGGACCCATAATTTTCCTAAGGTCAATGTGACATTCCTCAGGTAGAGGGTGTGGGTATTTGGCCCCCCCAGATCAGGAGGAGAAGCGGGATCTCCACTGCCAAAGGGAGTCTTAAATTTATCCGAGCTCAGAGATTTCTGGTCATGAAGGACTGCAAACTTAGTAGAGGGGTCCAACACATCTGTACCTTTAAAAAAATTTTAATTACTTGTATTTATTTATGTTGGGGTGATAATGCCATGTGTGGAGGTCAGGGGACAGCTTGACTGGATGAATCTTCTTCAAGCATTTGGGTCCCAGAGATTGAACTCAGGTAGAGAGACATGCTCAGCAGCAAGCATCTTTCCCCCCTGAGCCTTCTCATTAGTACTCAGCTGTATCTTTCTGTGTGTGCTCTTTGTGTACACAGGCATGTGTGGAGGTCACAGATCAACCTTGGGCATTTCATAAAATGATATTAAAATCCCAGGCTGGGTTTATGGGTTACTGCGTTTATCGAGAACTTTTACAAAACTGCACAGAAAAGGTGCAGAGGTCCCTGGTTTCTGCCTGGCTCACCATGGTCATCATGAAGCCCCTCCCCTTACCAGACCACAGATCTGTCCAAAGAAGTCTTTGCACTGAAGGAGGCTGTAAGGCACAGCAGCCACCCCAGCGAGGTCCATGGAAATGGAGGGTGTACCATGTGACAGCCTTGCAACAGAGGATGGAAGTACCATCCCCGTGTAGCAGCAAAAAGTGATGGGAGCCACAGACAGAGCAGTCAGGATACAGGTGGGCATGGCTGGCAGGATGCAGGCTGGGCAGGGTACCACAAACACTTCTGTGACTCCACCATCAGCAGCTCCTGAAAATGGGGTTTTCTCTCAGGTGCAGAGTGTGTGAGTGTGTCTTACTGTAGCTGGGCCTCATCTTCCCTCCCAGATCCCCTTCTCACCTTCCCACTCCTTCTTCTCTTTCTTCCTCCCAAACCTTACTTTTGAGGCAGTTTAGAGTTAGCACAGGGTGATCTCAAACTCACAAAGTAGACAAGGGTGACTAAGAACCTTTGATTCCTCCTCCCACTCCTCTGCATCCACAGGTGGAGGCCCTCAATCATCACTCTGTGGTGCCTTTATACTGCAGTCATCTCCTGTATCCCATTTAGGTGAGTCTCCTGCCTCCTGACTCCATTTCAGTACCCACCTGGCTTTGTTCTACCACTTCCTGGGCCTCGTTTCTCCTGTTCAGAGCCACACTGTGGCTTCTGGGAACATGCCTGTGCAGAGACCTACCTGATGGAGCTGACATCCCTTGGGTTTGAGTAAAGACTTTCAAGGGGCAGGGGAGCACCCAGCAGGTGCACCAAGGTGTGTTTCTGCCTCTGTCCCCTCCCACCTCCCCAGGGACAGATGTACAAAGATGTACAGTGCATTCTCAGCCAGATCCTGCAGATGCAGCAGATGTAGGTGCAGGGTGGAGGAGGACTCAGCTCAGATGTTCAGTCTCCATCCTTCACCTCTGCAAGCTGAAGGCAGAGATATCACCAACTTCCCACACACCTAAGGAACAACAGGACTCAGCACGCAGTGGGAAACCAGCCTGGGCCCAGCTCACCCATCACTCCACAGCACCCTGCATTCTGGCCCTCTGATTCTCATCACTCCCCATCTGATATGTTCTGACACTAGATATACGACGACATCAAAACTGACTACCCAGGTGTACAAGCTCACTGAGAGAGAGAAAAGGAAAGAAAAAGTAAAAACATGTTTTTCCTGAAAAGCATAAATATTTGAAGAAGAGCAGAAAGCAATAGTGAATAGTCTGAAATAGTCTCTTAAATAATAAGTTGGGAAGAGCATGAAAACACTGAGGTCACAAGACCCCAGTCTTTTCTTGGAATATTCTTACAGGCATTCAAATTTTTCCTATAACCACATAATTCCTGGTTCATGTTCTGACAAGCAGGAGTGGGATCAGATTATTCAAGACCTACTGATGCCTTTTTGTTGTATTTATTTTATTTTTCAGAGACAGGGTTTGTCTGGTAGCCTTGGCTGTTCTGGAACTCGCTCTGTAGACCAGGCTGGCCTCAAACTCAGAGATCCACCTGCCTCTGCCTCCCGGGTGCTGGGATGAAAGTCGTATATCACCACTGCTAGGAATATATATATCAAAGTTTTGTCTTTATCTTCACATCCCAGGTTCTCACCCTGGAATCTGGGGACCCTAATTGCTGGTGAGTCCCGTCTCCGACCAAGCTGGCATAAACGTCTGATGTCCTTCCTTCACCCCCCAAACGGTGGCGTGATAGACCCGTGCTACCCCAGAACCTGGGAAAGAGTTACTGTTTCGCTAACGATGTGCAGCGGAGAGAGATGTGGACAATCCTAGGTGTGCCTTACTGATGCCTGGTGACTATCGATCCGGTGGTACCACTTGATGCGCATGGGCTGGGCGTCTTTACAGCTGTGAGGAACGGTCTGCGTATACGGGACACCTAGTGCCTGCACGAAGGGACAGTGCCAGCTGAGGGCAGGAAAAGTGCAGGGACGACATTGCAGTACGGCCTCAACTTGCACAGCAATGCCCAACCCCGCAGGTCCGGACAGTTGTGCGTCTGTCAGGGAGGGGTCCTGGAGCGGAGGTCGGGGCTGGGAACCACTGTGCGGCGACACTTCTCAGCACTCTCCCTAGGGGCACAAGCACTCCGCTCCTGTCGCTCAGTCCGCGCTAGCCAATCAGGGCCCCGAGGCGAACATCCGCGCGGAATGGGGAGGACACTTCCGGTCCGCCATGCTGCCGGCCCGGCTTTGTCTGAGGGAGGCTCCTGGTCCCGAGAGCCGCGCGGCGAGCCGCTGCCGGGAGCCGAGGCGAGCGGGGCGAGCTCGGAGTCCGCGCCATGGTGAGCGGGGCCGCCGTCCCCACGCGGGGAGGAGCCGCGGGAGCCCGAGTGGGTTCGCCCCGGGGGCGGGGACGGGAGGCGCCCGGTGTGATTCCGCTTGTTCCCTGAGGTCCCGGCACCTCCCAGGCGGAAGCGGGACCTCTGAGTGACTGAGCTCACCTAGCTGCGCCTGCGCACAGCATGGGAAGAAGGAGTGGACGCTTACACACTGTTCACGTCATCCTGCAGGGCGCGCGCACGCGCGGCTTTCCTTGTCAGGGAAGTCAGGAAACTAGGGTGTGCTGACTCGCAGACCCTAGTTTCTCCAGTGTCTTCTGGAAGTTCTGCACTTGGCACTTGATGTTCAGGTGTCAGATCCGCCCGCGTTAGTTCTGTGCGGGTGGAAAGTCTGTGTTATTTTAGCACATTTGCATGTAGATGCCAGGGTGGTCCAGTCTCGTGTGTTAGTAAGTTCAGACTTCCTGGATTGTCTGGCCTCGTGGGAAAATTGGCCCAATATTAATCGTGGTTTTCACTCTAAGTGTTCTCTTATGTTCTGTTGATGTCTTTATTCTTTCTCACACAGCACAGACTTTATTGCAGGTGTGTGAGAAGTTTTGAAGTCAGATGGTGACACTGTGCGCTGTTTATTCAATCTCGTGTTTTTCATTTTTCATCCATGCTGACCTTAAGTCATGAGTTTCCTGTTCTTCATAGCAGAAATCCTTGGACTTTTTATTGGGCTTTTGTTGAATTTTTAGCACAAATTCTGTACTGAAATAATATTAAGACTTCCTATCTGTGATCATGGATTTTTCTGTCCTTTGATCAAGTTCCTTGATTCTTTTAACTACAAAGTTATACTTTAGGCTTTAGATATTTGTCACATTTCTGTGTATTTCTGTCCATTTTATTGTGCTTGCATATAACAGATATGGGGATCTGCTTTTTTTTTTTTTAAACCAAATTTCTTTCATATGCATGAGTATTTTGCTTCCACTATGTGTGTTCATCACTTGGGTATTTGGTGCTTACAGAAGACAGAAGAAGCTATCAGATGCCCTTCAACAGGATCTATGGATAATTTTTTGCTGCCATGTTAGTGCTAGGAACCCATGTCTTCTGCAAGAGTAGTAAGTGGATTTAACTGCTAAGGCAACTCTCCAGTCCTAAACTTGACAGATACTAAAGGTTGTGTGTGTGTGTGTGTACATGCACACGCTAGAAATTGAGTATTAAGAGAATTGTGGTTTGCTCTAAAATCCATGTGTGGGTGCTGGGAGGTGACTCACAGGTATGCTGATTACATTTGGTCAGCTTGACAAAGCTAGAGTCAGACTGCTCTGTGGACAAGTGTATAGGGTATTTCCTTGATTAATGATTTATATAGTAGTGCTCATCCCACTGTGTTTGATGCCACTCTGGGCAAGTCTTGAGCTGAATAAGAAAGCACTCTTAGCAAGCCATGAGATTAGGGCAGTGTGTTAGTCAAAGTTCTGCTGCTGTAAGAGACACCATGACCATGGCAACTCTTACAAAGGAAATCATTTAATTAAGGCTGGCTTACAGTTTCAGAGGTTTAGTCCATTCTTGTCACAGTGGAGAGTATGGTTGCACATAGGCAGACATGGTGCTGGAGAGGTTGCTGAGAGTTTTAAATGTAGAAGGGCAGGAAGACAGACACTGAGCCTGGCTTGAGCATTTGAAAAAGCCCTTGCCCCCCATTGTCACACTTCATCCAACAAAGCCACACCTACTCCAACAAGGCTGAAAGCTCTTAGTACCTGTGGAGCCACAACACTCCCTAATGACCAAGCATTCAAATCTATGAGCCTGTGGGCACCATCCTTACTCAAACCACCACAAGCAGTCAGCAGCATTTCCCAGGTTGGGAGCATGTGGAATGCCTAGGTCTCTAGTGTATAAGTATGTCAGTTAGTAAATCTGTTTGCCAGAGTTGGAGACTTGCTATTATGAACATATTTTAATTTACTAATCTCTAAGTGTGTGTTGTGATTTCACATTGTGAAGGCATATTCATTTCAGACCAGCTTTATCTGCAGGCTTTCAGAAAAATATATTAGTGGCAAGTTGGTTCCAGTTTAAGTCAGTGAGCTGCAGTGGTCTCCCTTATATATCTTTTGCTGTGGCAGGTGAGTGAATTTCTGGGTACTTTCCTAGCATGCATTAATTCATACCATATGAATGAAAGCAAACCAAATTGGTGTGTGTACAGTTTGGGGAAGTTACCTTTTGTGAAGAGGTAGCTTTTGTGGAGAGCTGCTTGTTTGGCAAGCTGCTTTAATATTGAGTATTCAGCAAAAACCATGGTTTTTGCCCTGGCCTATACCTTGAAAAAGAGATAAACAGGATGTTTTGCCAAGTTCCTTTAGCTTGTTTGTGTGACTGTGGAGCATTTCTGCTATACAGAGAAGTGGTCTAAAACAAGAAGTTTGACTGCTCCATGAACCCCTTCCTTGTAATGATGTGCCTTGTTTAGCTTTGCCTATATAAAAGAGCTGTGGAATAAACTCAGGGCTTCAGTGTTTACTGACAGTGAGCCGATCCCTTGTGTCTTGCTTTATTTCTTTCAATCCTCACTCCCCACTCAGGTACTGTTTGACTTTGTCAGCCAGCTCCGGCAGCCAATGAAATTTCCAGCTGGGCAATTCTTTCATATGGGTAAGTGCAACCCAGGTTGGCTCACATCAGGCTGGTGAGAGGATTGAGACACAGTGCTTTTGGCTGTGGTTTGTGTGTCAGCATACAGCACTCAGCAGCTAACATTTTGCATAGGGCAGATCATCAGTCTCTAATTAATGGCATTCCCTCTACCAGGAAGGAACTTACTCTGTTTCAAAATCAACATACCTGAGTGTTCAGTGGTCATTTTTATCTCTTTAAAAAGCCATATATTCACATCTGGCTTAGTGTGGTGGTTTGAACAGGTATGGCCCAGATAGGCTCATGAATTTGGATGCTTGGCTCATAGGAAGTGACACTAATAGGAGGTGTGGCTTTGGAATAGGTTTGGCCTTGTTGGAGGAAATGTGTCACTAGAGAATGGTTTTGAGGACTAGTATGTGGTGTGCTGTCTATTTTGAGTTTCCTGTTTGGGATAGGGTTAGGGTGTGTATGTATTGTCGACTTTGACAGCACTGGGAGTGGTCAGTATCACAATGTGGGGACCTTTCCACCAGAGAGTCAGAGTCTTTTGGATAGCTTCTGATCCAGACTAGGTCTCTGGCTCAGTAGTCATGAGGCTTCACTGCTGGCAGGTCATGCAGCGGACAGACAGTAGATTTAGTTTTTCCTACATCCTTTGCAATGCCTCGACTGACTGGAGTAGGGCAAAGTTACATGCTTCAACAATCAAATCACATATAATTTTTGGACTGATGTGAGGGGGTCTTCCAAACATTATTTTGTAGGGGGTCAGAGCTTCTTGGTAAGGGGTATTTGTAACCAGTCTCTGCCAAGTTTCCCCAAGAGGAGTTTATTTCTGTCTTAGCATTTTCAGCTTTTTAAGAATAGGGGCAGTGCACGCTCTTCTGTAATTCTAGCTGAAATTGGGGTGTCAGGGCCTAGGAAGGCTGAAATGCTAGTCAAGGGCTGGGCAATGGGGCATTTTTCAGAAGCATCTGATTGAAAGGACAGGGAGCACTTGCATCAGCTAGACTGTTTTATATCAGCTTTTGCAAGTCCAGAGCTCAGCAGGTTGCAGTCCGCAGGTGCAGTCTACATGGTGCCTGTCAGAGAAGTCGAGGTCTACTGAGACAAGTATCGACTGGGGACAGAAGTTAAAATTTCCTGGTAAGTCCTCCTGGTGGAGGAGGAGCATGAGAGGGGCTGACCTCCCCTTGTCTAGGCAAAATGGGGCTATCAGCTCTCTAATGTCCTGCTCATCCAAGGTTTTGGGCAGGACCTACAGCAGGTAGTTCACTAGGGCAGTATAGCCCAGTGGTTAATATTACTATAGTGGCGTCCTTTGTTGCTATGTCCATTGTCTTCTTGGAAACCTTGGGTCTGGGAGTGTCTGTCTGTCATAATAATTTCAAACCTCGTACATGCCATATTCAGTAGATCTCTGACAGGTTTGAGGGCTTGTATCTTCCAGGCATATCCAATTTAAACTTAATCCTTCTCTGTTTTTAGATATTTGCTCATAAATCAGGAGGCTAAATATGGCTTATTCTTGTAATTAATTACATTAGTATTTAGCATGAGTACAAGCCTAGCTCTGACCATACTAAGGACTTTGATCATTTTTATGGTGACTATTAACTTGTGTTTTTTTTTTTTTATTATCCTTAACAATTTACAATAAAATGACAATTTCTGAATTAAACCTTGTTCAGTATCAAGATAAGACTTTTACACATCGAGACTGGGAACTTTCTGGATCCTCATATGATATAACATTATAGGACACAGTAGTTTTCTTGTATGTCTCAGTTTATCAAAATATCTATAGCTTAATAGTGCTAGTAAACCCAGCAGGTTAGACATTAATCCTTAAATCAGTCTCTGTTAGCCTGAATAGACCTTAGGTAAGGAGAGACATAATTTTGAGCCAGTGATTCTGTTTGTTTTTCTTTTCATTATTTCACATTTACTTTATTCACTTTATAGCCCCTTCCTTCCTCCCGTCTCAGCCTCACCTTTTCTCCTTTTCCCTGCCCACTCCCCCTTTTCTTCAGAAAAGGTGAGTTCCCTTTCCTATCCACTTCAGCTCATCAAATTGCCTCAGGACTGAAAGTGTTCTCTTCCCCTGTGGCTACTTAAGGCAGTCCTGCCAGGACTCATTTGTCTTATGGCTAAAAGCTAGCAAACAAGTCTGTGTCCAGTGTAGTCCTCACTTCCTTCAAAAGAGTACCTACCTGAAGCCTAAGCTGTCTAGCTGCCACATTGTTGTAGGGGATCTAGCTCCAGTTCATGCATGGGCCTTGGTTGATGCTTCAGTCTCAGAAACTCCTCTGGGTCCTGATTATTTGGCTCTGTTTTTTTTTTTTTTTTTTTGT